CTTAGGAAGATGTGGGGATAAAGGCCCAACCATTTCTGTCCACCATGGTACAACTCTGGTGGGACACACTCTGGAGAATAAACTTGTGATAAAATAAACTTGTGATAAGTTAAACTTGTTTTTAATAAGCCATGTAGAAGTAGTTAATATTTCAAGAACATGTTCTTTTACATTTTAAACTATTTAAACTTTTACATTTTACATATAATAGTTTAAACTATTAACTCAAAAACTACTTGAAACTTTTCTAAATTTTAACTAACTTGGGGGCACCTGGATGACTCAATTAAGCGTCTGACTCTTGATTTCAGCTCAGGTCATGATCTCAGGATTTAGTTAGAGCCCTGGATGGGCAGACCCACAGACTGAGAAAACAGAAGGGCTGCGCTGCTGGTAGCTTTCCTAGGCTACGAGGAAAAAAAAAAAAAAAAAATCAAAGCACAGGACCCACCGAAAGTGGGATGCAAATATATCATCACCCAAATTAAGTTGAGATCCTAAGAGCAACATCATCAGGATCAGGGAGAAACTAGATGGAAAACAGAACTCATATGACTCATGACTTGAAGCCCTGCTAACTAGTGCATGCGTGTGTGTGTGCATGCGTGCATGTGTGTGTGTATAAAACAAGTAATCTGAAGTCGAACATGAACTAAGTGACTTGGGACTGGTAGCATGCATAATCAACTTTCCCAGGAAAACATGCCTTCCTAAAGTACATACCATAATCCTAAAACTTAAATAATCCTGTAATTTTTCATATCCAACAACTCGGACATAGTCACACAAGGAAAAAATCATGAACCAGCAGAAACAGACCCTTAAAAAAATTAAGAAACTGAAATTATCAGTTAAAAACAACAAAAAACCAATACTGGGCCAACAAAAGCCACAACTGTAATTTTTAGCAAGTAGTTAGAAACAGTAAAAAATTGGGTCATTTACTTCTTAAAAAGACACTGATCCAGAGATTTAAGCACCTCAACCCAAAACAGGAAAAAGAATTCTATCCAAAATATCATAAGGAAATAGCAGAAAACTTAAAGAAAACATTTTTTAGAGATTTCTTTCAAAGCAGCAAGTATTAGATTAACAGCTGACTTCTCAAATCACTAATGGAAGCTAAAAAAATTCAAAAAGCAAAAACCCATAGTGGAACGTTATCTTCAAGATTCTGAAAAACAACCAAAGTCTACAGTTTAAAAGACCCAAAACATTCTTCAAGATTGAAGATGAAACAAGACACTGTAAGGTAAGCAAAAAATTAAGATAACTCGCCTTCGGTACAACTGTATTAAAGATACTCTAAACAGTATTAAAAGCAAAACAAAAAAGATTTTCAAAGAAAACTGAGAGATGCAAAAATTAATGAAGACCGAAAATGGTAAAAATACAGGCATATGTAACTGAATGTTGATGGTAAGAACAGTACTGTCCAAGAGAAATACAATACCGCGCATATACATAATTTAAAATTTTCTAGTATCTACATTAAAAAAGGTAAAATTAACCCTCCTACACTGTTGGTGGGAATGCAAGCTGGTGCAACCACTCTGGAAAACAGCATGGAGGTTCCTCAAAATGTTGAAAATAGAACTACCCTATGACCCAGCAATTGCACTGCTGGGTATTTACCCTAAAGATACAAACGTAGTGATCCAAAGGGGCACGTGCACCCGAATGTTTATAGCAGCAATGTCTACAATAGCCAAACTATGGAAAGAACCTAGATGTCCATCAACAGACGAATGGATAAAGAAGATGTGGTATATATATACAATGGAATACTATGCAGCCATCAAAAGAAATGAAATCTTGCCATTTGCGACAACGTGGATGGAACTAGAGGGTATCATGCTTAGCGAAATAAGTCAATCAGAGAAAGACAACTATCATATGATCTCCCTGATATGAGGGAGAGGAGATGCAACATGGGGGGTTAATGTGGTAGGAGAAGAGTAAATGAAACAAGTTGGGATTGGGAGGGAGACAAACCATAAGTGACTCTTAATCTCACAAAACAAACTGAGGGTTGCTGGGGGGAGGGGGGGTGGGGGGGGGTTATGGACATTGGGTAGGGTATGTGCTATGGTGAGTGCTGTGAAATTTGTAAACGTGGAGATTCACAGACCTGTACCCCTGGGGGACAAAAAAATATATATATATATGTTTATAAAAAATAAAATTATAAAAAAAAAAGAAATAAAAAAAAGGTAAAATTAGTTTATTATAATTTCAACATGCAGTTATAATAAAAAGCTAAATTATTCTATTGTTTTCATACTAAGTTTCAGAAATCTGCAATTTGACATTTATAGAACATGACAATTCAGGTGCTAAATTGTCATCAGAAATGTTTGACCTTTATTTTTATAGTTTCCAATTGAAAAGTACGTTTACATATCCAAGTTGTTCCAAACATACTTAAGGGCTTTTCAACAACCAAATTAAGTATCAATTTTCCAAATTTAAATTAGCAATACATAAAACTAAAAATTCAGTTCCTCAGCAACACTAACCACATTTCAAGTTGTCCATGACCAGCCACAAGCGAGCTATGGTATAGAAACTCTTACTCTGAGTTAAAATTACAAATAAATTTAAAATAATACTAATGGCATATAAGCCAGTAAAAAAATGAAATGAAGAGAAAATCATCCAGGAAGCAAGAAATGTTCCAAGCACACAGAAAATATTTGCCACACTGGTCAAATCTTTAAGTAAAACATAGACACCAACAGAAACACTGTGGTAAAGAAACGACATTCCACACAAGAAACTGAAATAGCCAATAAATTTTTTACAAAATGCTCAAAGTCATTAATAACCAGAGCACTGTAAATTAAAACAATAATAAGCCACATTCATCATGTGGCAAAAATGAAAAATGTCAACTGTAGGTGACACTGTTGAAAAAAGTTATGTATCATATACTGTTGGTAGGAGTATAAATTGATCTATTTTGGGAAAGTTTGGCATAATCTACACCGTACAAAAATAAATGCTATGTGCATAAAAATACATGCATAAGTACATTCATAGTAGGATCGCTTATAATTGCTAAACTCTAGACACAATCCAAATGTCCATTAAACTTAGACTAATTAATTGTGGTTTATTAATAAAAGGACTTACTACACACCACTTACTACAGACATTACTATATAAAAATGAAAAAAACATGTACTACAGCTAAATGCACTAACAAAGTTAAATACTGATGCACAAGAGGCAAGTAGTACATAATGTATAATCTTTTCACATAGGTAAAATATAGGCAAAATTCATCTACATCGTGTAGGAATGCCAACATCGGTGGTTACAAAAATACTTGAAATAAAAATAGGAAATAATTACAATAAAAATTCAGTTAGTGTTAACCTCTGGAAGCGGTGAGCATAATATTCAAGAATGGATGGGGGCAGGAGTTGGTCTCCAATGCCAAGAATGTTCTAGTTCTTGACTTTGGTAGTGATCACCAAGGTGTTGACTTAGTAATTATTCATTATACTACATACCTATGATTTGTGCATTTTTTGCATATTTAGTATCTTAACATAAAAAAATTTAAATGTTACTGAAGGCACTTATATTGCTTTGCTCTAATTTTTTTTCTTTTATAAAGTGGTAAATGTTGCAATACAAACAAAATTTTAAGGCACAAGAGTCTAGTTTTTAATTCCGTTTCATAAACTACACACAAGAAAGAAGCACTAGGCAATAGTGTATAAATAGGGTCCACTGCCAAAACATAAGTAAAATGTAGAGAAGTAGCAACTTTAATTGACAGCGTATTCCTAAAGAACTCATTACAGAATTAAATAATACCAATACAACAAAATGAGAAATTTTAGATTACTGGTCTTAGAAGAAACTATAAAGAGTGATCATCTTTCAAAGTACTTTTACCAAAGAAGATAACTGAAAGACAGCAATGGCTCTAGCTAAGATTGTATGAAATGAGTATGAAAAAGAAATGGTGATATTTTACTAAAAAAAAAAGAAAGAAAGAAAGGCTTACTAATGTAAATTCATTAATTCTTTAGTAGTTTAAATTATTATCTTATGAGGGAAACATTTCCAGAAAAAATAGGTGGCATTTAATTGAGAAACCATCTGAGACTAGTAACCAAAGAAACTTAAAACAAAATGCCCACTTAAAATATCTCTCATCTACACTAGAGAAAGAGAATTTTATGTCCCTTCTCTATAAACCGTAACAACATCGACGACTACACCATCCCATATCCCTTTTCTCAGAACAAGCAGAAGCATTGTGCTGCAGCAACAACGCCAAGATATGGGAGGGAAATTCCATTCAAGACTTCCCAGCTTGCTCCCTCCTCCCCAAAACCACTCCAGAATTCCAAGGAGCATAGCGAAGTACGGAAAGATGGTCATAATACCCAATGCAAGTAATGCATCTAATGCCCGAAGTTGTCAAAATTCACACACGGAGCTTTTCTCTCCTCCTGCTCTGAGCTGAAGAAATAGTCAACAGTCATCTGCAGAAGCTCCACAGATCCCATTTCTTTTTAGCAGCAGGATCAAATTTCCTCATCACCACCGGGTGTAGTCAACACCCGCCAGAGATCTGCTCTCTTGAGGAATCCCTGCAGGCGTCAGGGATTCGTCAACAGCCCCACAGGAAGGCCACGAGACAGGAGGGGCCTGCCTGGCCTAGACAAGCCTGCCCCTTCCCGCATTTCCAGTCTCCGCAACCTTCGGTCCTCATTCTTTTCGATTTGCCTTTCGCCACTGGCGACCCTGGCTTTCGTTTTCAGGCTAGACTGCCCCATGTTACCTCTCACAGAAAAGTCTGCCTTTACCAGGGCAGAGCAGGAATCTAGCGACAACAGGCACCGCTTCATGGCCCACTCACCGCGTAGTCTGCTCAGCTTCACCTGCTACTGCCAACGGTACACCACTTCTCCCGACATTCCCCGCGCACGCACCGCGTCTCCCACCCCGCCCCACTCCCGCCCAAACACGTGACTTACTTGCGTCTCCGTCCACGCCCACTTCCGTTCCTCCGCTTTCCCTTGGGAGAGAGGAGGGGGGCACGGGGTGTTAAAGAGTAGCGACTTCCTCCTACTCCCCGCCCCCGCCCCTCTACCCCCTGCTACAATGTCTTCCGGGTCGCAAGTGCCTCGGAGCCTTCTGGGAAACCATATCATTTCCTCCCCTCCCCCTCCTCCTGCCTTCAACCAACCAGCCTCCCGTCAGGGAGGGACATGCGCAGTGAGAGCCTCCCGTCTCTTCTACCCGAACCCCCCCTCCCCCCCCCCAGCAGAGAGACCCCAGCAGCAGCAGCAGCTGATGATGAAGAGAGAGGCAGTGGCAGAGGGGGGGCACCTTTTATTTCTATTTTTAAAGGGACAGGACACTAATTTTACCCCACTTCAACCTTGAATTGAGGGGGGTGGGGGGAAGGCGGCTGAGTTCCTTCCCCCACCCTCCAGCCCTGAGACCTGAGAGGGGGATTGAGCCTGAGAAAGAAGAAGAAGGAGTTTCTTCTTCTTCGAAAACCCCCATCCACGACTCCTACCCCCTCACCCCTCCACTAGCCTCCCTCCCGAGCCCCCTCCACCCTCCTCCTCTTCGGCCGTGAGAGGAGGAGAGAAAGAGACCAAAAGCCTCTTAGCAACACAGACCCTTTGCTGCTGCTGTTGCTGCTGCTGCTGCTGCTGCTACTGCTGCTGCTGCTTGGCCCTGGCTGGAGACATCTCACTACACCCAGGAGCAGCCACTTCCCCAGCTCTCCTCCTCCTTCGCCTCCTCCTCCTCCACTCCCCCCCCTTTATTACCCTTTGTGTCATCCTCCACAGCTCCAGGGAAGGCACTCAAAAGTGGGGGGCAGGAAAGGTAAGTGTGTCTGTGGGGGCTTCATTGCCTTCCTCTGGCTCTGACTTTAACTCCGGGGCAACAGTAGCACCAAACCACATACGCAGTGGAGCTCCGGGGTGAGGAGGGGGTGGTGCTGGGGGGGGCGGTGAAGGAGGGGTTGGAGTGGGGAGGGGTGTGTGAGGTGGGTGCCCATCCTGTCAGAGGAGGAAGGGCACTTTTATTTTTATTTGCTGTTGTCAAAAGTGGTTTCTCTTCTCCAGCTAACATCTGATTGTGTCTTGCTCCAGTGGGGGAGAATACAAAAACAACCCCCTCCTTCCTCCAATGAGGCGCCAGGGAAAGAGACAGAAAGAGGCACACTTTCTAGATGTCACTTGAAAAAATTCATTTGGAGAGCTTTTTTCCTTTTTCCCCAGGAAAAGCTCCACTGCATTCGTTTCTGAGTGGGAAAATGTCGGGATTTGGATTGTATTGGAACTGCTTATCCATTTGTAGACCTGAGTGTTTTCCCCTTTTTGGTTCTGTATATGGTTTGGAAATTGACTTAAGTGTTGGAACAGACTTGATTGGTTTTTGCTTTCTGGGTTTAATTTTCCTTTTTTTTGTTGTTGTTGTTGTGTCTGACTTGCATGGAAGATTTCAAATTTTTAGTTGATAGAGGCCTTTGGTTAGGTTTTGACTTGTATTACTGCTTTTTTTTGTTAAATGTTTGTTTCATATATTAGCATGTAAAGTTCAAAGCTTAAAATGCTCAGTTTAAATACCTCCGGTATTATCTCTCCCTACATACGTTCTTGATAATTATTTTCCATAAGATGAGAATATTAGCTATTTCCTAATTAATCTGGGTATTTTTCTAATCTTTGTAACTTGTCTGAACAAGTAATCCCCATTGAAAACTTTATGTTGTTCTGGCTTCATGGAAGGCCAAACCTCTCCATCAATAGTTTGCCGGATTGGTACCACTTTCAGTTTTAACTGAATTATTTATTTAGTGTTGTAAATTGAGATGAGCTTTTCATCTCTTGGGGTACCGAACCAAATTGATCACTGTATGTGAAAGAACACAAATTTCTAAAATATACTTTCATGAGTCAAATAATGAAGATGTACTTATTATATTCACTGTAGTTAGACAAAAATTGAAAGATAAATCCAGATTTCGGTTTATAGAATAACAGTCTTCATAAAAATCACTATGGCTTTCAAAATCAGTGCTGTATTTTATTTCACAAATGCTAGAAACTATGTTTCCAGTGTAGGCCTTTTACTAGGGCTTACATTGGAAAGTGGCATTTTGTTTCATACATGCATTTCTTTATCCTTTCCTTGAAGATGGATGCACACATACATATATACACTTTCTCTCTCACGCACACACACTCTCTCTGTCTCACACACACACACCCTTTTTTGTAACTGCATTGGTATCTCTGATCCCATAATTTATGTCAGCAAAAAATATTCTTTTGTAAAGCAGCAATTTTATGATCAGACTGGTAATATGAAAATAGCAATTTGATCAAATAGAAAGGAATGAAGAAAAATAAATCTAGATGGATATTTGACGTAAATATTATTAAAACGTGGTAAGACTTTTTAATTTTTATTTTCTTGATGGTAAAACCAAAACATAATGATGCTTCTATTTTAGTGGCAGAAATGCATTGCAACTGTAGAAACTTGTTCTGTAAAATTTTCATTAATGTGCGCAAAAGTAGACGTTTCAACACAAGGGGGAAAAGCTGTATAGCAATAAACAATATGGTCTTATTTCCTTCCTTTCTGTCATCAATTTGAACAGTTTCTTACCTTCCGCTGAGGTGTAATTGGTGCACTTCAGAAGAAATCTGTGTCAAGTTCAAGTTTTTCTCCCAACATCAATTTCAGGTCCACCTAGGATTTCTCGTCCTCACCCTACTTCCTCAGCAACCTTAACATAAGAGGGAGAAAGTAGAACTTAGTGAAGAAATCAATTTTAAGTAAAGCAAATTGTGTATATAATTGGAAGATAGTTGCCCCGTCGGCAGCTGAGTGAAAATTTACAGTCTTGACGATAATACCTTTACTTAAGTTGTGTCTGCTTTTCTTTTGAAAATGTTCCTATATCCCACCACTCATAGGGTAATTCTGTGTGGTTTGAGGTTTCCAGACTTCCTCTAAGTTGGATAATGATTTATATTTAGAAAACCCTTTTTATTATGGCTTATATTTTGAATATGAAGACATTTTAGGATTGTAATTTTCATCTAAGTGATATCTTGGAGATCACTTTATCCAGCTCTTCATTTTTCATATTGCTGAATTTCAGAGAGCTTGAGGAACTTGCCTAGGTTCCAAGGCCTCTAAGTGGGCAGAACATGGACCAGAGAACTGAGGTCTCTGGACAGTCACTATGCCATACGACCTCATTCTTAGGAGGTCGTGAATGAGACTCATTCACAATTTTGTGTATAGCACTTAGGGATTTTATATGGAGGCATATTATTCTAAGAATATTTAGGTATATAGCTTTAAGCTAAAATTTTGTCTATTTATAACTCACTTATTTGTTGTTGATTTAAGAAGTACTGATTTCTCTCATTCTAGATAGTTACTATTATGAGAATTATTTCAGCTTCCTCTTATGCTTATTTTTTCTCTGCACTTCTAATTAATAAATATACTTCTTACTTACTTCTTACTCTTGGATTAAAGACATGTATATAAGAATGATACATAATGTATTATGAATGTTTACCTGTTAGTCTTGCTGTGTGAACCACTTAAGACTAAGGATTCTTGTCTTGTTAACATTTTATATCCCTCACAGCAGTGTCTGGTGCACAGTAGGCCCTACTGGTTATTTGTCATAATTGATAATAGAGTTAGGCATATTTAAATTTCTTTACTCCCATATGTGGAATTCGTTTCCTTTCTTCATTTTTCTTTCCTACAATTTCTCCACTACCATGATTTTTTAAATTTGTTTTTACTGTAGCTCTCACTTTTTCTGTCAGCCAAAATAAATCCTGATAACAATATAGTATTTATAGAAAATAAAAACATATTCCCTTTAATCCTTGTACAGGATGCAATTTAACAAAAATCATTTATTTTTAGTAAGAGATTTCCAAAAAATTCCTATTAAAAATATACTGGCAAAAGTTCAAGATACACTTAAATTTCATTTCATTGAATGCCTAGTGCAATAGGATATTGGAATGATTAGGCCACTTTTACCAGCTCTATAAAGCAACTGTTACTTAGGTGACATGTTTCCCTGACTTTGTTTTTTTGGTCCTTACCCAGACACTTACCAACTTGCCAGTTTTCTATGGATATGAAGATTTACTCCTAGTCATCACTGGGACCCCATGAAGTCAGTCAGAAAGCCTATGCCCAACTTATGTACTTTTGCAAACTTGTCTGGATTTTGAATGTATGTGCAAAACATATTGTATTTAGGTATTCATTAAACATCTACTGAGCATGTGCTGTCTGTCAGGCACTGTGCTAGGCATCTGAAAAACAAGGATGGTCCCTACAGTTTAATATGAAGAGATATTTTTATTGTATTCCACAAGTCTATTGGTCATAACTTTATTTTGATGTTTTTTCCTAAATAAATTTTATATTAATTAAATGGATACTGTTAGGTGGAAAAATACATGTTTAAGAAGGATTTTGCTATATTTTATTAAAATAGAAAAATATAAAGAAAAATTTTCCACTTAATACTGTATTCTGGGGATTTCTATTCTGTATATAATTCATTAATTGCTAGTATTTTATTGGTACATACTTTTATTTGAACATTATCAACATTGTTCATTGAAGTACCTCATTAAATTATTCCCCCCAAAAAACCAAACCCAAACTCTCCAAATTTAAACTTTTTTTTTTCTCAAAAGTAACTTTTCTCTTTACATTTCATATAACAGGTTATCTTTCATGGTTCATTGGAAGACATGGTACATTATCATTTTGATCATTTAGTTAATTTCTATAGTTTAAGCTACCAGTATAATTTAATTATCACGGAATAATTACAGTATATACTATTTAGGGGTTTTGGAATTTTCAGTGTGCACTAGATAAATTCCTCCAAGATACTCATTAGAAGCTTTCCATTTCTAACTCTAAACAGGTTAGTTGCAATTTTTAATCTTGATTATGTGAGACAACTTCAGTAAAATGATTTGGGAGTTTCTTGGTTATGGATCTTTCAAAACCAAAGGATACTATCTTGGTTCCTATCATGGCTTTCATATGTAATTTAAAAATATATTAGGGGGAAATTTCCTGGATTTTCTTTGTCCCCCTTAAACTGTACTTAGAATAATATTGATTCACAGTTTGAAAGGAAGGACTCTCTTGCTGGTACAGTATCTTGTGAAGGTAAATAGACTTCTGAAGGTCAATTCTGATCTCTTTCAAGTTCATTCTTTTTATTCTAGTAATAATCATAGTTACTATTTATTATTATAAGTGCCTAACACTATGATAAATATATCAATACACTGGTCCTGTGAACTTTGAACATTATTGCCATGTTATAGATGGGGAAACCTATTACTGATAAAACAGCATTTTACATATAGCAGCAAAATACTCAGTCACAGTAAATTCATAACACTTTTTAAAATTTAAAGCACAGTCACAATAGCTTTTATCAGTCAGTAAGTACTCTGGTAACCACTAATAAAATCATGGCCCAAATAGCTTATTGATAGAGTGATGGAAAATTTCTACAAGTTTACAAGGAGAGAAAAACAATAAACAAACCCAGTTCTTTATAAGGAACATAGATGCAGACCAGTGTGCAACTGGAAATAAAATACACTTGACCCTTGAACAACACAGGTTTGAACTGTGGGTCCACTTATGTGCAGAATTCTTACAGTATTTTAAGTATACTTTTTCTACCTTATGATTTTCTTAACACTTTTTTCCTCTAGCTTTATTTTAAGAATAGAACATGTTATACATGTAAGACACAAAATATGTTTTAATTGATTATGTTACCGGTAAGTCTT